GACAGATATATTTTCCAGAATTTAACTGCCCATAATTAAGGGTGCATATAACACATGAGTGCGTACTATACACAAATAAATAAGTCTTGTGTACATTGATCAATCGGAAGGGGTGCTAATTGGGATTGTTCACTAGCCAATATATTAGCAAATATCTCCGCTTATTAGAGCGGGGCGCTTATTATGTCGAATACGGTATGACATAAAAGACCATGACCTCAGATTCCAGATTTAACAATGTCAAATATGTCTGTAAGTGAAGAAGAAAATAAACACAGTAAGGAATTTTAAGGTAGCATTGAATTGGTGTCCCTGGCATGCCGCAATAAAAGATAATTATAGTGCATCTAACAATGCCAACATAAGTTAATTATTTATTTTTGAAGTTGCAGGAGGCAGTTTATGTTCAAAATATCATATTTATAAACAAACTGTCCAAGGCGTCTTTGTACATTAGCTGTCAATGCGACTTGCAGGAACCATGTTTGATGTCATGCCAGGACAAGTACTCACCAACTTCTAGAATGTCAGTCAGGCAGTACTGCTAGGAGTTTGGTTGTGATGCAGAAGAAGAGGAAAACCTAGTACTTATTTTGAATGGCTGAATAGCAATTTAATCAAACTAACTGGACAACCATTAAATATATGCTATTTAAATAAAATGAAAAGTGATATGAATCAGTTAAAATGTATGTGAAAACAGTCAAGACAATACTAATATAAGCTTATTTCTAAATAGCAAATAAACATTTTTTTAGAAATAAACAAACTGTGCTCAATAACTGAGATAAATATAAAAAAGTGTACAAATTTATAACATAAAAATATATTTTTAAAAAAACATTCTTGGAGACCAACTGTTTAAGGTCATAATGAAAACCCATAATTAATTATACTTATTATTATCAGCATTGTAAAACAAACATTAACATATTTATAAAAAACATGCCCACATTTGATCAATCCATGAAGTTCCTAAATTATTTCTGAAACAGAATATGATTTCATTTTGACGGCCAGAAAACTGTCATTCACTGTCACAAATTTAATTATCTTTCAGCCAATAACAAACTTGTTTTTCTGCGCAGCCATGTTTTCAGTAATGTGGTTTTTTTAACATCATTTTTTTCCATGAGGAAATTTTATTTCAGAAAAATAACTCTTTTGCCTGGAATCAAAAGAAAAAATAATCAACATGATATCGTGTATTTAAACAGCTCTAAACAGTAAAGTGCACCAGTTCTCTGGTTAGTCCCATGTGCCCAGGGCTTGTCTGTCGACAACATCCTAGGTCCTAACACCAGCTGTTACATATCAAGCCACAAACACAATAACACGTCGGCAAATACAACTGTTACAACTCCACATATATCAATCTGAAACCGGAGCGAAATAAAATAAATTTGTTGTGAAGAGAAAAAGGTTTAAGGCTACTTGTTTTTATTTATTTGTTTGTTTGTTTTCTTTACAAAAAGTTTCAAAAATATGCATTTCTTTTCCTTATTTCTACACACATTTGGTCACTGGTGTAAGATTTGCTTCCCATTAAGGATTGCTCAGATTTCAATGTATTGAAAGAGTTAAAAACAACATTTTTTTTATATAAATGATTGTATTACCTAACAACCATATTTTCCTGAAAATGAATCTGCAAAGAAAAATATTACCAACAATTTCATAACATAAAAATATCATGTTTTCATCCAAACATGTTCCACACAGCCTGGAATGGACGAATAATCCTTCAGATTTCTCACCATCACCTGCAGGGAACGAACAACATTCATCACCAACAGGGAACGTAACATTTTGTTATCTTGAGTACAAGCCCAGAGAGGATGATCCTCCACTAACTACCGGTAACCAGATGCACTTTGTCAACAGCCTGTAACACAGATGCAATGTCAGTCTGCATTAACAGGCCTACAATAAACTCCATCTCTATCACTAAGTGGAAAGAATGGATCAAAACTGCAAGCTATAATTGCCTCTGTTGAATGGCCTGGACCCACCCTACTATCTAACAACATCAAGCCTTGCCCGCAATGATACTCATGCTATCCCAACAGAATAAGGTTCTGTGCGACTTTCAGCAATATCCCAGCAATATTGTTAACACTAAGAATAGACTTCACTCCTTGGACCCAGGTAACAAATCCAACAAGTCCAAGGCATGATGACCAAACACTCCAACCTTATGATACCCATCTCCCTCATCACACCAGAATAAGGCAAGGTAATGGGCTAGAAAAAATAGGAACGGATGTTCATTAGAAAACAAAAACAGTATTTTGTGAGTCTCAAAATCACAGCACCTGCAGCAACTAATAAATACAAAACACACCAATCCTACCTTGTTGAGACTGAATCAGTATAATAAGAATTTCTTTATATTGATTTTTTTTCTGAATTTAAGTATGTGAATAGTGTGTTAAGGAAATGTTGGAGAAATCAAAACAAAACCCTTTACATAGTCATAAGAAATATCTACTAAAATCAGTGTCCATTGTATGACCCACCCAGCCCACCGAGGCAGTATCACAAACTTCCCCCAATTTGCCTACTGGCCTGGGTGCTGATTATTGTATTTGAGTTTCATAGATGGTTGGAGGTAGTGAATTACTGGTTGGAAAGTTGTCTGAAAATCCGAACAAGGATCAAGCTGTTTCACGTTCACTTATAACACACACATATAACAAACATATACACAGAACAAACACATACACAGAACAAACACATACATGGAACAAACACATACACACCAAGACGGACATTATTCAGCAATACATTGTATGCCATAAAACTATTATGCTTAAACATGTTAAAATAACCTCATACGTACAATGTCATGAAGAGGCTATCATTAAAACTGCTTGTCACCCTCTACTGACAATCTTAGACATTTCTACTGGCAATACATCATCCAAAGTCTCCCACAAAATATTGTGTTGCTATATACATGAATGAAAGTCCAGCAAAAAGTGAGAGTCTTATGCTGTCTTCATTAGAAATGTGTTGCCTGAGGGTTCCAGACTTGATATCTGCACAGTGCTGGAACAATAACTCCCACTAATAACGGACACATACAACCATCACCCACCACTAGCAGTGTAAGTGATTGAGAATGGTTTTACCATGCTTTTAGCAATATTCCAGCAATATCATGGTCGGGGGACATGAGAAATAGGCTTCACACATTGTACCCATGGGGGAATCGCCATCATCAGAAGGTAAGGTGAGCTTTCATTTACATAAGCGGGGAAACATAGTCTTTTTATTTGACATGCTATGTGTGCCTGGAGTATAGTTTGATATGGCATGAAGCCTTAGTATTGAGGACAATAGCAATTGTGTTTGAGTAAGACAGGTGGGACAATGGACAAAACTTAACACCAGTCCACATGTTCCTGGCTCTGGGAAACTGGACATGCTTCTTTCTCCAACACTGGCACTGCTCTCTGGAACCTGAACGTCGTTTAGTCACAGATGTCATGCAGCAAATATGGAAGGAGGCACATTTCATGCTTCGCTTTTTTAACTCTGACCACATCATTGACACACAACTCGGAATCACAAAATATTTGGCATGTACTATGTGATATCAAAAAAACACTTTAACATTAAATTGTCACATATGCAAATAATCAACACAAAATGTTTCAGAATACAGTACTTACAGTCATCCTTCAACTGTTCATGGCATACCTTGTATATATCCTTGAAAATGGAATAATTGATAAAATAGCTTCTTTTTATTGCTTTAAAAAAGTTCGATATATAAATTGGAATACAAATTACCCATTTAGTGATTTTCTTAATCAACTGCAATGTGACTCAATGTATTAAAAAAAAAAATACTTTGACATTGCTAAATAATTTCAAATGAATACAATAAGAAAAGTCTTCATGTAAAAATGATTACAAAAATAATTCAAATACATGTATCAAATGATATTATATTTTCGAGAAATTTGATATAGCAAATGTAAGAATAAGATTGCAATCTAAACTTTAAAACTTGGCAAAAAATACCTATTTCCGCACAATACTTGTAACGAAATAAATGAACTACGCAGCCTACCATGTGATATAATATATAATACTTAACTGAAACAATTCACCTATGTGATATACTCAAAGAGGAATTTTCATGAAGCTTCTGCTAATGCAGTGTAATAGCATGTTCAAGGCCTGTTTCAAACAAAGCTTATATGAACGTCTACATTGATATTGTATATAGGCACAAGATCTGTAACGTATCACAAGTGGTTATACCAGGGTACATGATGTAACAATGCTAAAATCTGCAAGGTAGTTGGTTAAATGATAACATTAGAAATATATATTGATCTGCTAATGATGTATATCATATAAACATGGCAAAATATGTGCAGCCGTATCAACATTTACAACAATATCTCCAAACAACCTGAACTATCCAGGTAAACTTGTCTTGTATCTCCCTCTTACACAGTCAAGTCAAAACTGTCTCATGTAAACTATTAACAGAACCTCACACTCAGGGGTATAGTAGCTGATGACACTATTGGTGCGTAGCAATTACCAAGGCCTGATGGCAACAGTTAATGACAACAGCAGGGATTTATTTATCTAGGATTCAAAACTTTGTACCTTTGGAAAATTGGAATTTTTCAAAACTGGAATTTGTTTTAAGGTTCTTATTTTACAAAATAAGAGGTATCTCAACATTGCATTCAATACAATGACATAAAATTAAAAAATAAAACTTCTTCCTCTTCATCAGTTATTTGAGAATTGACTTCAAAATGTTTTGCATTTATACAGGTGTAAACATAACAACCTGTGAGCACACTGTGTAAATCTGTGTGGTAATAATGCACCACAAGCCCCACCCATTCTATAATCAGCCAATCAGGAAACAGTATTCCTTTAGAAGGAAGGGCTTATTTGGGGGGGTTTATGGAAACAAAAGCAAAAGCAATCAAATGCCCCATAATCTTCTGTGATTTATATATAAGAAAAACATGTCACCTCGGTCTCTACGAAGTCACAGGAGTAGTTATGATGATAATATTATTAACATGAACCTGATAAATTGGAAAATTATCAAATTAAAATTTGAGAATTTTTAGACATTTGCTGCTGACATGGGGTGGAATATCGGCCTCTGAGCAGATCTAGATAAATCCCTGAACAGTCAACATTGATGATGTGCGATACTATTGATGGTTTTAACTGAAGAAAAAATACAAAAAAATACTGGCGATAATTAAATCTAAATGTTGCTTCTATCCAAAATACACATTACAGAAGAGACATGTGGGTATCCACATGTAATATATTTATAATTATTATTATTTATTATTAATCATAATAATATTAATAATATACTAATTTATAACAATATTCAGAAGTACCCTTGATGTCATGAAACCTTTGCTTATGCTGGGGCTTTGTTCTTGTGTTATTGTGGTCTTGTTGAATATAACATATCAGTATTGTGAGCAAGCAAAGGTAGTTATCATACTATCACAATACTGTTGAAATAGTTGTACACTTATTGCAACAGTACCGAGGTAGTTTTGAGATCATGAAGAGCATTTTAAATTGACCAGCACCTATCAAATACAGGTATTGTACAAATCACAGGTATAAAACACAGGTAAACTGCCTTTGATTTGATACTGGCCAGCAAGGAGCTACTGAGTGAGTATGGTGTATACCACTTTTACCTATATTCTAGCGTTAAGGTCAAAGGGTACAGGGAGAATTAAACACTGAACTTCATCATTATCGTAAGTATTTAAATCTTGGTAACCCTCTTGGAAGAATGAAAAGGTAATTACTGGTAGTTTCAACCCATTTAACTTAAAATGCATGTTAAGCATTACTTCTAGCTGTGTTTACATGTTTCTTCAAATTATTTTGAGTTCATATTTACATTAAAAGTTCTTACAGAAGAAATGTCTCTGAATATAGACTTAAAGTTGCTGAAGTGCAAACAAGTATCATGATGCAAGGTAACTCAAAACAAATTTGAAAGCATGAAGATTGAGGTATGCACTAGACAGTTGGTTATCAAAGCCAGAGAATTCATACGACGCATCATTCAAGCTAGTACTAGTCCATCTAAATACCAGTAGTCTAGATGAGAATAGTGCTGATCAAATAATAATTTCCAATTTAATTGCCATTTTTGTTATTTTTATGTCACTACATCATCACATTTAATTTCAAATCATGGGAATCAACATATCATATCACCAAACTTGCACTGGCATATTTACAAAATTTGTTTTAGTTAAACATGGACAAGTGGATGGTGCTGCCATTGCTATTTGGTGACAGGTTTCTGAAATTCAACATCACTATCACTTTCGTCATTCAAGCTGACCAATGTCTGTCCATTGGCACCAGTATGGATCAGCCTCTTCATGCTCATCTCATCTTCCTCGCGGTGCCCCCCGTTTCCTCGACCATAACAGCAAGCGATAACTGCCCCAATCAGAAGCACAAGCACAAAATTGACTCCACAGTGCCATGTAAAATACAACGTTGCTATCATCATATGTTGATGGTCATCCTGTTTCCATGGTGATGCACCTTCTATGGGATTGAACAGAATAAACGCAATCTGCCAAAACCATGTTCCTTGAAGGAGGAGGAAATATGTTCGCGCCAGTGGTGCCAATATATTATGCCTGTAACGCATCTCAACGAGGACACTTATGACGCCTATAAAAATTACATAGAGCAAGAAAGTATGAACCAACACATCCAACTCTGTTCTTCCATGGAGATGAAATTTGAACAGTATTCCCTCAATGGTAAGGGCAATAACATAGCTTATGTAATCTGTATCTGGAGGCATTGGAGCACGGTAATATTGGAGAATGTCAACAACGCCTGTTAGGCCAAAAAAGAAAAACATTGTTGCATGCTGCCCATTTCCAACAGCTACAAATTTTCCATGAGACATTCCGGTGTATATTTCCAAGCCAAATCCAATAGAGATCAGGAATATTTTCACAAAGGCTTCAACAGGTAGATCCTTAAAGCGGCCACACAAACATGGGCAGGTCATCATTATCCTGGAAGTGAAACGGGCATTTCTCTGCCTACTGCTGTAGTACAACTGGAACAGACGGACAAAGTACCACAAGGCGAAGATGATGAAGAACGACCCTGGTAGGGTATGGCCACCAAAATTACCCATGATGCAATGTCACAGTAGACTTTCCACCTGCCAACAGAAGCAAACAGTTAATTTAATTTATGGCTTAAAAACAAAAATTATCGTGAAAAGTCCATAAAAAGGAATAGATATTTGTTAAGTTGAAATGATTCTGAAACAAACCTATCAATAAAACAGCACCCAGATTCATTAGTCAACCAATGAAAATACAGCTCTCATGCTGCTACTTCACTGGGACAGTTGGCGTCATCAGGGGGTCATGGACATATAAATTTGAAATCACAACAGAACGCCCAGGGTCATTTACCAAATTATTTCAGCAAGGAGACATGACAACAACAGAATATTGTGGCAATGATAACAAGGGGAGCAACTGCTTCCTTAAGAGAAATTTTGCCATGGTATGAGGACAGCCCAATTGTCAGCATTTGTCTCACTTGGTCGCCCCGTTGACTACCAAGCCTTTACTACATTAACTCCAAGCTTCGCTTTGAAACTCTAGTGGTGAAGTGTAATAAAAGGTCAATAACACTGGGCTAAGGGAATTCTATTGTGGAATATTTAGGTCACATGTCAAATCCGGTTCGTCAACTGTCGTGCATATTTCGGTTGATTGCAGGATTTGCAAAGCATGTGCACCGCCAACTCGTTGTCAGCAGATATTTTCCAAATCTTTTCATGTTTTTAATCAAGGTGCTCACATGATTTGATGCATTTCGCGATGAAAGACGCGTTTTATCACAATATAGATCTTGATTATCGATCAGATCGTCCTGACCGGGTGCCACCATTTTGTGTGAAGCAAACGCAAGTGGTACGAGAGGTGGAATCTGATTGGTCCATAGGAGAGACTTAGAAGGGACATAACTGGTAATAGCTACTGGTGGCGCTATGATCAAGCCCAGTAATTCCAGCCTAGTTCGGCAAGGGTGGAAACTGGACTTTTAAAGTCAGTTAACTCTCTTGCCTCGGGAAGATGGGTAACTTCCTGTGTTGCAGTAGCTGAACACCCAACCACATACAAATCCTACTGGGAGTGGGTATGTCACTTTGAATAACTTCTGAAAGTTGTATTTCATTGCAGGTGGGTCTCGTTTGGCAAGCAGAACATTTTGACCTTTGTTTACTGTACGTCTTTATACTGTTAATCATGTAATGAGTCCAAGCATGACAATAAAGCGAAAGTAACACATTTTTATCTGGACATATTGGGAGTATATTGTCATGTTAGATTCACTGAACATGGATGGAAAAAAGATATATAACAAAGAATGTTAGCCCCTCCCTCTACCAACTACCCATAATTATGCTTACAACAAAATATAACGAGAGGTAGTTTTGAGTTCATTATAAGCATAGTTTACTGTACTTCTAAAGTTACTCATGCATGTTGTTCCTTGCCGATGTCTAGAAGGTGACACGCTGTCACATGCATTATCTCGCATTGTCCTGAGGGCAAGTGTTTAACTGCAACACAGATTTAACTCTCGACCTATTTATTACAGTCTCTAGTACACGAGAAACGTTGCCAAAGGACATTATTTCACGTTGCCACACATCTTTTGTCTTAACTGTAGCTGTATGAATGGTAGACACATTTAAATACCCCTCACTTCTCACACGGGTGTAGGGTTCATGCCATATACCCCTACTCTACTCTGGAGATGCATGTCAAGACTATAGACATGTGCTTTCCAATATTTATTTCTGACAAAAAATAAATCCAGTTCAAAAGAATAACCTTCTTGCTGGACTCTTGACTTTCTAACCTGTCAGGCCACTCACATTACCGCTCTGCCTCCAGGGCGAAGTGATGGCAGCCACATTTGGCAGGGTCTTTCAACCTTGACTTACATGAGTGGGGGTCTGGGGGACCCCTAATAATTGATTCTAAGGGTCCTTGCAGGCAATGTGAGGGTCCTGTAAAGTACTGTCATGGTGTTGTGTACTGTATATTTAGATAATTACTTTAGAGCCTGGAATGAATTAATGATCATATGGACAGAGGTCATGATTGATGTCTGAAATAACAGATACCAATAACAGCTCTTGATGCACTGTAGGTACAATGAATATTATCATGCTTTCCTCCAGACACAGTATTTTCTTCAGTGGCCATTCTCTACATTTGTGTGTTCTGGACGCATATTTGTGAATCGTGTAAAACCCTGATTGACAAAACATGTCATATAGGGCTTCTGGGTTAGAACAGGCCTACAGTGACCCATGCTGGTCGTTAAAGGCGAGTAAACGGTTCAGCGTGTGAGGCTCAGTTACGTGCTTGTTTGCTTGATAGCGTTTTATCATACTCCTGAGGCATAGATCTATGTTCACAATATCAGTCACTGGATTGTCTGGGCAAGACTCAAATATTTGGCCGCCATCATATAGCTGGAATATTGCTGAGTGCAGCGTTAAACAAACAAACAAGCAAACAAATCTTAACGACATGTATTTGTAAATATTTAATGTCTGTTTCACTTATTTTAGTTTCAGTTGTTAACCACACATAAAATGTTGAAGGTAAGCACAGATTGCTGGTACACAAACTATCCTCTGTGTATCTGCCAATACAACCAGAGGCTTTGAGGGTGTATTGGCCAATACATCTGAAAATTTAGAACTATTATTTGCCGCAGGCTTAGTTAATGCACATTTGTTTAACAATCCTCTGCACTTACATGAAATTAATAACTGGCAAAATTGAATAAATGTTGGCTTTGCAAGTTTGTTGGAAAAATCCTGTACCTTTCTCGAAGCAAACACGCGTAGGACTTTCCTCCTGTGGCTAGGTGCTGGACAAACAGGACCAAACCAATTATGTGTGCACACACATCAGCTTCTCGGGGAGTGCACGGGGAGGGACTAATGCAGTTTTAACAGTATTCAGTTATACCACACCATGCCAGCTTAGTGTTGGAGATGATGTAGGTCTTTAGATGTTTACAATGTTGGTAAAACCCTTGCGCATGGGCACTGTGCTAACAAACCAAGAATCATACATACTAGGATCCAAACACATGATCATAGGTAGACTAAGGATACCAACACGAGGGATGCAACTCAGCACAGCTAACTGAGACTGGCTATCATGCCCTGTGCCTGCGTGCGTGTGCTGTATAATGCTGTACTCGGCAATATTCCAGCAATATGACAGTGGTCTGTCTGTCAACAGGTGAGTGTGGACCAGACAATCCAGTTATTGATATTGGGAGCAACGATCCAAGTCACCGAGCCTTAACGCAATCCATCAGGTCACCTCTTACGACCAGCAAAGGTGGCTGGGGACCCTATTCCACCCCAGAATCCTCCCAGTTGTTGCTTACTGATGGTTTGATTTTAGAAAATTAAACAAAAAGATCAAACCAAAATATAACATAATAAACTGTTGTATATTTTGTCTCCGCCTCTGGGAATATTGACAAGGAATCCACAGAAAAATGAGTTGTAGTCGGATATATCATGGGAAGCTCATGTTGAACCCAAGACTCAGAAACCAAAAAAGGTCATCATAATGAACATTAAAAGCTCTTATCTCGACATCAAAACCATTAATGTCCAGTGTATCTAATGTTTAGGCGTGGTTCTAGGTGTGTCATCAACCCAACAGAAACTCCTTCCTATTAAGATTATTGTACCTATATATATATATACACACAAAATAAATGTACTAACCGTCCGGACAACAGGCTGAACTGTCTTGTCATGAGCACTGTTAAATTGAAATTGGAAGATCTCAAAGAAATGCATACTCTGTTGTTTTACTTTACTGCAATCTTTTCCCTTCATAAAAAAAATTACAAGGCAGGGAAAATATACCATGTCCCCTCTGACTCCAGGCCATGTTCTACACATCTTTGACTCAAAACGTAAGTGAATCGAAAACTTAAATTTAAGCATTTAAAATTGAAGTCCCACCTGTTTCCATGGAAATGCAAAATGTACTTAAACATTAAAGAGCCTGATATAGCAAAAGGCACCAACTTACCATCTGGATCCTATGCACGAATGAAGTTCTGTCCCAGAAACAAACTACACACCTAAATGAGTCAAGGTTCATACAGATATGGATACAAATCAGGCTTCTAAAGGCTTTCAAATGCCAATTTTAGGGCTCTTAAGTTGGGTTAGCCTGAGTCTGTTAATATTCTTAAAGATCAAGCATACCACATAAAAAGCAGTATGAACATTACACATTTTCCAACATGATCTATTTTCACAACCAACAAATAATATTAATTAGGTCTGTCATTAATTTTAATCTTTTATTATAATGTATATGTCATTTTGTAGAAACTTCAAGCTATGTTGGTGATTTTCAAAGCTTTTCAAGGTTGACACTTAAAATCAAGGCTTTTTAAGGGGGACTTCAATCCCTCTATTCTTTAAATGCTTTGCATACTAAGCACTTCATTTGATAGCAATGTCACATGTAAGATTTCAAAACTTTAAATCATATTTCCATAGCAAAATAGCAAAGAAATTAAACAACTCCTGAATTGAAGAATGATGCCTTGTTAGCTTGTTTTTTAACAAACACTGTTATATTAGTGATGTCCCACTCTGTCAGCGTACAATGTCACATAATCAACCACGCCACCAAGCCTGAACTCCCCATCCATTTAGCTGCCTCTCAACACAAGCCTCTCAACACACGCCTAGGTTGTTGGGGATCTGTTGTCACCCGGAATTCTATACTACAGACCCTGATACAAATATATCAAATACAGCCCATGCAAGTCTATAATGTTTGGTAAGTCTAGATTACTGCAGTATCAGGAATGAAGAGTCTCTGGGCTCCTTTTTATTATATTTTTATTAAGATAATTTAACAACTGGTTTTTTTTCGTACAATATGTTCATTTCAGAGACTAGATGTTAGTCTAGCGGAATTCCAACAGGGTTGTATGATGTAATATATCTGATGTGCTTACAAAGTTTCATCAAGAATTATTGAATGGTTTATGAGTTACGGTACGCCAATTGAAACCCTCATTAGAAACAAGTCCAATTTGTTATTGAAAAGCAGAATCTAAAACTTGCTAAATGCCTTTCATAAAACAAGGCACATGTACAGTACTTGCCTGAAGTGTATACCACATTTCACAAAGAAATAATCAACAGTTTATGAGTTATGAGCTCCAGAAACGAACCCAATCCGCTTTGAACTGAAGTCCAACTTTTCGCCATGGAAACTCTAAATTCATTTCAAAAGACACAAATTCCTGAATAGCAAACAACACCAGATCAGTGCATGAATAGACAAAATTTCACGATTATTGAACGGTTTATGTGTTCTGCGCCAGAAACAAAACATGACGAATGGACGAATGGAGCTGCTTCGATATCCGCATTAGTCATGCTGTTGTTCCAAAGCATATCATATCCATGACAACCATGATAACAGCTGTGATATTATTGCAGAAAGAATATTGAATATTAACTCTGATATATTCATAAAAAAATCTGAATGTTCTGGAATATTTTCACATTCAGATAAACATGGATAAATGTTTAAAACTGGATTGCTATTCAGTGATTAATTTTACAGATGGAACACGTACAATCGTACAGGTGAGCTTACAATCACTGGGCGAATTGTTATTTCCAGATTTGATACACTATGAACAATAAACACTCCAGGCATCAGATGGTAGCAATCTCATTAAGATCAGTTCTTAGTTCTCACTACCGCTACACAAACTTTGTTTATAGCGGTAGCGAGAACTGAGATCTGACTTAAATGAGATTGCAGGTAGCTGGGAACATGGGTGATTCTAGGTCTGAAATCAGCAGATTATTCTCTCAGGATGTGTTTATAGATGCATGAAATTATGTGAACAGGTCTTGTCTTGAGTCAGAAAATTTTTAGTATACTCTCAGTACTCTCATTTCAGTTCACCTACTTCAGAATACATCATAATCTCAACTGCAAGCATGAATAGTTTGGTTAACGATAGATGTTAAAATGAAGAACATAGGTTAGGAACTTTTGTTCTTTAAAAGTCACATGAAGGGTAGGTATTTATGGTGTCAAAATTGCATGACTTGGTAGCACCAGGATCTGATTATTATGTGTAGTTTGTCAGCACCATAGCTGCATGCATGGTTTCACCAAACGTGGTCAAGATCTACTACCTGACTGTGTCACTTCCGATAGCATACCTTTGAGATGTAGCCTTTGTCTAAACAAACAGCTGGGGATTTATAAGGTGCCCGGGTGTTCAACAGGCCTGACCAAATTGGTAATGTCACGATTAGTGGATTGTCAGCCTGCTTGTTAGATCACTGTGGGAGGAAAGCCCTAAGGTCCAAGATGGGATTCAACCAATAATCACAGGATTCTGGCACACAATTCCACGTAGAGATTTGTGGCACCCCAGTTGAGTGTGTGACCCTACTCACTTGTGAGTGACTTGTTGTGGCTTAACACCACACTCAGCCATATTCCAGCTATTTGACGGTGGTCTGTAAACAATTGAATCTGGACCAGAAAAACACATTTTTTTAGTCATTTGCCACCCTCTAGAATGCCAATCAAACAGTTATATTCATTATTATTACTTGTTTTGCTGGCTGGGGCTTATACGTAACATTTTCATGTACACAGTTATTAACATGTTCCCTACTCTTCCTGGGATTTTTTTATGTTTGCGTTCTGAAGTTTTTTCTTAAACAAATCACAAGTCCAGACTTTGCATCTGATGGTTGATGATGTTTCCGACAGACAATACAAAATAATTCAGTTACTGCATCTACATTCATCCCATTTAAACTAACACAGCAATACGTCTTACAGTCACTGTTTTAGAGATAAAAATCTTATTTCGAACTGTTTGATAATCAAATTATGTTTTATCATGTCAAACAATATTTTCCTCGATTAAAAACCATACATCAACCATTCGCCTCACAAAAGCATCCATTTTCGCTTTGACATTACCGTGAGCGCGTAACACTGGAAATACCTTATCAATAAATCAGTACTAAAGTACGCCATTTAATCCTGAATTACACTGCCTGCTTATATAAAATAAGGGTTCATTGTTTATGTGGACTTATGTTTATGATCTATTTTATTATTTCTTTTCAAAATTTCATTCAATCGCAAATGAAGTTATCGGTAGATCGCGCAACTCACCGTTATTTACAGCAACCATGCAGGGTCAGATTACCGCCATCGACGCGTTAAAATGAATTTTAATTGACAGTGAATGGATACATATTTCATAAATGCCATACTTTGACTCGTTAAAAGTCATATTTGTTGTAGTTTGACTATCATGTGTCAACATTAAGTTTTCGCGATCGTGAGAGCCTCGACGGTGACTGGTCAAATTGTTCCATACGTAAAAAATATCCGACAGTAGCGATCAGCTGTACCAAAGTGCTACGCTTCTGGATATTGTTATCATTAATGTATATAGTAGAAGCTGCAACTTAAATATCACGATATTGGAAAAATATTCCTGATAAAATAACAGTTTCAGATACAATTCTTCCGATCATTGCATAAAAATTATCGAAGAATAATAGGTGATTTTAATCGACTTACCGGAAGAAAACGTATGTACAGCTGATTGCGGTTTCCGACTCAGTTTATGAGAAAATATGGATTGCTGTCACGCCCTATACTCAAGGAAATACGGTAAATATAATTACCTCCCTTTGTAAACGTGTTTCGATACCTGCTTCGCACACTTTCTGTTTATTTCTTTAACAGACAGTTGATAAGTGTGTCGAGTACGTATGACAGGAGCGACATGTTATTACTGAAAACGTGCGAGAGATTATCTTGCATATTTTATGGAAAACGATAAGAGATGAATGGATTGGGCAACAGATATTATAAAACAATAAGTCCAACAATAGTGGTTCAGTCCATTCACATAAGTAGGGATGAACTGAGTTCCCACTGTGCCTACGTGTGGGATTGCACATCACATACCAATTGCATGTGATAAGTGAACATTGGGCATTAAAATCATGCACTTTTCCTGCAACCTTTGAAGAAGTCGTTTTTGTGTCGAACCAAATAGATCAACATAGCTTCAGAGATTATTTTGGGCCATAATTCTGCAGTACTGTCACATTGTGGGTGGGATTGGGTAACTGTAAACAAACTTAACCTGAATAACATTTGCTTTTGTGTAAAGAGAGAGAAAATCAAATATCCTGTCGCTAGCTGAGCTTAGCAACTCCTAGCAAATGTGTAACACTATGTTGAAAACGCAATACAATGCAGTGGGATGATATCGATTATTCAGTACCCACCCCAAACGTTAATAACTCATATAATATTCAGTAAGTTTTCCTTAAACTCGATTGATCCGTTTCTGTCAGCGCGTACTCAACGCCAAACAACTCACAGCATCCGTAATCCCCGAACGCTGCACAAGGCAGCACGCTCCATTAATCACTGTGAGTTATTCCAATGGCGTTAATTAAAAATTGTTTCGAAAATAGCTTCATTTGAATATTTTCATTCCAGATTCCGAATTGAACAGACGAATTACATAATAACCATGCATGAATAAAAATGAAAAGAGCCACGAGTCCACAAAAGCAGACATGGTTATCAGGTTATCACCTGGGTAGTCCAGGCGACAGAATTTCGGATGTAGTGCAGCAGTGTTAGCTGACGATAAAGGCTTTTGTAAATATGCCATTAATCTACGACAATAGTTGCTCTTTACTTACAATAAACAAGACTAGATATCCTCCACTGTCTTTCAGAGGCTGAATGTTACTTAACAAATGACATTCCGCGTATTCTCCCCAAGCGATGTGCCCAGAACGTAAGTACTTAACCCAGTTACACACATCTTCGCTTTCATTCATAAACCGGTCGTCCAATTCGTGGCATCGCCACAAACAGGTGTTTCTCGTGAAATATGATCAATTTCATGAAGACCCTAACCACAACAAAGTCACATCTATAGCAAGTACTTACCACTATCACTCCTCAGTTCCCTGACAATGGATTGCTGTCACGTTCAAATCAGAGCGTAGCCCGCTCCTCAACAGAAAGTCGCGTCGACTGCTCTCACAGCGCCGCCATAAACCACGTGATTTCACGTGACCCAACCCCAACGCATCGATCTGTTGTTGTTCCACCAAGCAAGCAAACGAATGTGTCAAGACATGCAGGCAATCAGTACAACGTGATGGGGATTCGGTCGGATAGGGAATGACTGTCGTTGTACGTGAACGTAACATGAATGTAACCACAAATAGATCAAGGTTTTCGCGTAGGAAAACTCGTCCCGAAATAGCCTACAGTCCGATATACTCTCGACGCTGAGGCTACAACATGCAGCAATGAGGACGACTGATTGGCAGCTCAGTGTTTTGTCTTCAGCTTAATTGTCCTATGAAAAACAATTGAAGACAGCTGGTGCAAGCTTAAATCAGTTTCGGTCAAATACTTCCTCGTTTTCAAATGTAGATTTTAAACGTTAATGCCAGAGAATAACCACACTCGATTATCCGACGAGCCATCTTCTATTGGGCGTAAAAGGAAAAATAGCGGTGCCAAGTATATGAATGAATCACTGACTATCAGTGATGACACCGGGTGTTCTGGAAAAGGGTATGCATGACCTGCCCTACCGGAAGCACCCGTCACACACACAATTTGCATTAAAAAGTATGTGTCTATTCCCTGACCCCGCACAGCAGCACTGCCATGCGACGGGGGCATGTTTACCAACCAGACACTCAAGAGAAGGGCCAGCCAGAAGATAATGAATTTACTGCTATGGCTGAAACGTAAAACGATATGTTATTTTGTAATTACGTCAGCTGTGCACGAGATCAGAGATTCTGTTGTTTACAAGTAAAGAAAAATAGTTTAAGAAATATGTTTGTTTTGTAACACAAGTTTTAATGTCTCGGGCCAAACATTTCTTTTAAAGTTGCCTCGACATAATTGATAATGCTGAGATTATGATGAAACTCGGGGACCACCAGGAGAATCATCGACCCAGTTCAAGTAAATATAAAACGCCAACGCCAGAGAATAACCAGTCTCGATTATCCGACGAAACACATTTCTTTGGGTGTAAAAGGCAAAATAGCGGTGAAAATTACAACTTTTTACATCTTTAGTTGTTGGTGTTATGCAAAATATACAACTGCCGAAAAGAGAAAAGAAATCCCATTTTCAACACGTCTGGTTACTTTCACGCAGATTTATAAATATATTCCATGTTTCAACTTGTACTTAGTTGCCTTAACGTACTTTATTTCTAACATTGACCTTGATACATTCAGGGTTGAAAAACATGATTTTATGTTAAATGTTAATTTGATAAATAATTTAATGTCTCTGTGATTCAAATGAAATTATATGTACTGTATCTTTATCTTTTAAGGAAGATTTTATTTTGAACGGTAAATGTCCCAGAAATTGAACCCACCGTAAGGTGTGTTGTTTACCCTTCTGCCATATTCTACACGCACGATCTTGCAATTGTTTGTTTTTTGTCCATCATTTCGTCATGATTAATCTGCACAGACGTGTTTTCAAAGAACAAACGCGCGAGTAGCTCGCGCATGTGAAATTCAAAGTATAGACCCTGCAAATAAAAGTCTTTCAATCTGATGTAATATTGTTTCTCCTGGTTGTGTGAAGTACTCCGTGCTTCAACTGCCCCAGAGAGAAGTGTACCCGGAGTACATATATGTGTGTGCTTGTTTACCCGTATTCATAGCCTCACGTTCATCCGTCCTACCAAACCTAGACACGTGATAGATGAAACTAAGTTTATCAATGCCAAGACATTTCACCCATGTGATTGATCCGGTTTTATTTATTAATGTAAATGTCCAGAATAATCGATATGAAATGAATGATATGTTTATTTGCCTAAATAGATAGAAAGAGACGACTCCTCACACTCAATATATAGTCATTCTCGCCGAGAAGATAGAAATGCAATTATTTTCTGCGCTGAATTATTATTATTTATCATTTTTTAATTATTAGTATTATTATTATTATTAGTAGTAGTAGTAGTAGTAGTAGTAGTAGTAGTAGTAGTAGTAGTAGTAATTGTGTACATATATGTGCATGTCGTGCGATTTATTATTTTTATTATTATTATTTGTGTACATATATGTGCGTGCATATAGCTGGTGTAATAACATATCTCGCTCACTTACATGATAGATAGATAGATAGATAGATAGATAGATAGATAGATAGATAGATAGATAGATGTAAGTTCTGACATAACAAAAATCAGTGAATCATTAAATATTAAAATCAAACCTGTCCGGCAACTCGGCGCTGACTGCTAAATCTGGTCCGACAGGGAGACTACGGAAAGAATGCACGTATATATAGACTCGATGGTATGTGACGGCGGTCTTTAAATAATCGACATCATGAGTATCGATCTAGCAATATGACCTCGGTAGATCACTCTGACAGCTGGTGTGGATGTTGATTCGTTTCTGATGGAAACCATCAGTTAAACCTGCTTTGTGTTTGTTTGTTGTTGTTTAGGCGGACAAGCCAATGATTGACATCATGAGCACCGATCTACGCAATTGGGATACGATGACATGCAATAACCAAGCCTGACCACCCGATCCCGTTAGTCGCCTCTTACGACAAGCATAGTCGCCTTTTATGGCAAGAATGGGTTGCTGAAGACCTATTCTAACCAGGATCTTCACGGGTGCATGAGCTGTAGAAATCAGGTTCAAGGTTTGAGTCTGTGGTGGACATGTATTTCTGGCATAGTAGGGAAGGGACTGCTTCTGTTTTTGCAAAGTTCATGTACGTGCAAACAATTTCCTGGTTTTCATTAAACGTCTTATCAACCTAAACACAGCTGTGGGCGAGTAAATCCGCCCTGTGTATCCGTCTGTAAAGTTCAGTCTAGGAGCGTTGTGTATCCGTCTGTAAAGTTCAGTCTAGGAGCGTTATCTGACTTCTTATGGCGTTGACAAACGGAACAAAAATGTTTCATTGATTTCTTAGGACGATCTCCTTGTGTTAATCCCGATCGATGGTCCATAAATGTCAGACAGATAAAATACATAATTTTGCTCTTTGCATTCCCGGAATTGGTTCATTTTACAAGCACAGGCATTGTCGCGGGTGAAATATATCCAATAGTTCTAAACGATCGGTCGATAACTCACGAATACACGCCATTTGTTTTACTGCATGGGCGTATGAACGTTAACTCACAGCTTATATTTATTTCTGTAAATTCCAGTAAACCTGTCTATAGGTGTTATCGCGTGGATTGTCACATGCGCAACATCGACACCAACCCGTTAAACCGTGCGGTAGCGTTCCCAGTGACATCGTATGGATAAACGGAATCATCGGTCCAGTGTAATGTCCCATGTCTAAATATAGACATTCTCAACAGGTTTTTTGGAGTTCAATGTTTCACCAGTGAACCTGGAACTTATATCAGTGTGTACGTTTGTAAGAAACCCGAAGGTCCGGGTTAGAATAGGTCTTTAGCAACCAATGCTTGTCTGTGGATCGAAAATCGTGATATCAATCACTGAATTGGCTGGTCCAGACTCGAATATTTACAGCCCGCTCCATATAGCTGGAATATTGAGTTCGACGTTAAACAACATAACAAACTGTATTTAATGGTGTCAATTTTTTCGATGTAGATTCTTACACCGTTCTCAAATTTGAAGAATCTACATCGAAACGACGCTCATGTTATTAATAAAGGTGTACAGTTCTTTAAATCTTTGTCGGCGTCACGAGCGAACTAGCATAACCAGCCGACTGTTCTCCCGATTGCCATGTACACATAGGGTATATTCAACGCCATTGTGACCAATCGATCTTCATTTTAGGCTCTTGCCAAACTGCCACCGAGGCAATGCAAATCTGTTCCGGAACGCCACCGAGGCGCCGATTGAAAACCGATGAAACGCCAGCGTAATTGCTGCCGATTGTTGTCCTGACAGAAGTCCCGCGCAGCTCAGCAGTGACCGGTGTAATCAAACACATTGTTAATACGTTATCACCGCACTCAGTCATTGCAAAATACCCACCCCCAACCCAACACAGCTATCTCTTCATGGTCATTGTTATAGTCTCATTATAGATCGACGTATGAAAACGCCTTTGTCAAGACAAATAGTCATAATGTATGGACAAAAGCCACCGACGAACAAATATGTTATCAGTATTATACTGCGGGGACACAGATCCTTGAATCCGTCATTGGAATTGTATTATTATGTACCGCCCCTGTCATGTGAGGCATTTAATAGAAGGGGGATGTCATGCCCTGCGACATGGACAATGAGTGTCATGTCCGTCAAGGTGATCACTGAACCAACCTCATATAATGTCATGCTGTCGTGTTGCGTTGTCGTGCTGTAATGTGGCGACCAGTCAAAGGTGGGTTTGTACGAGGCCGCTGGACTTGTACGAGGCCGAATGGTCTATCTGAAAAACCAGTAGCCGCGTGCAGGTCGATTTGATTGGCTATCTGCTTTCGAGTCCCTTGTGTCTGGGTGCCGATGGGAGGTCCTGTACGGGAGATGGCTCTCCTGCGTCTTTATCGGATCGCTCGTCAACGTTCTATGTTTGGTGCATTCTGTTTCACAATCAGCAGAGACCATATTATATGGTCTCTGCAATCAGTTAATAACATATTGCCAACACATAAAGTGTATTGGATACAAAACGCCTGCCTTAAGCATGATTTTAGATGTACTCGACGTTTGTCATGTTGCGCAGTGTTAATTTGAACACCAAACGAAGATTGCATGGTACACTGTGTTTTTATACAGTGGGCTCCCTTCACAACTAATTATTCTCTTTTAATAAAAGTGTTAATAAATGCGTCCCTTAACGTGCAATGTATTGTCATCTGAAGCTCTTGCAATGGAGGTGTTATATGTCGGTGTTTCGTTGTCATAGAGTCATACATTCAGTGACATTTCTAGGTTGCAAACTCTTGTCGTTTCTGAAGAAAATCGTATGATCCTCGCTATCCCTTGCTTTTTTATGGGTGCATTACTATCTCTGGTAGCGACTAACGGGATCGGGTGGTCAGGCTCGCTGACTTGGTTGATGCATGTCATCTATCCCAATTGCGTGGATCGATGCTCATGATATCAATCACTGGATTGTCTGGTCCAAACTCGATTATTTACAGACCGTCGTCATATAGCTGGAATATTGCTGAGTGCGGCGTTAAAAACAAACAAACCAACCATCTCTGGTAGCTTTGAGTGAGATAAAAGGACATTGATGGCATCCAGAATTATGTTTTCAGTTACAGGGACTAACACGGTGCGAATATACACAATATCCCATTAGACGCGGGACC